CACAGCTCTGCCAGGGCTGCCAGCTCTGCTGTCTCAACAAGCAGCTCTGGGCACCCACTGGGTTCTCCTTCTGCCAAGCAAACACAAGTGCAGCCTGGGTACAGCGTGGCTGCCAGAACTGGGGGGAATTTCAGTGCTTGGCAGGCCGGGCAGAGACGTGCATGGGAACAGCATCCCAGTGAGGCTGGGCTCTGCTCTCAGGAGAGCTGCTGCACTGCCAGCTCACCATACCCCCAGAATGGGAGGCGCTGGGGGTCCTCAGGTCCTTACATGGTTGATTTTCATCTCTCCACGGTCCCTGCGGGCAAACTGGCTGCTGAGCTGGTGCAGCATGGTCCGGCCCTGCCTCCGTGCAGCCCTCAGGTGAGAGCTGCCAGGCTTCTTGCTCCTCTGCTTCTCAGTCATCTGCTTCTCTGCAGTGAACAAGGCATGCTGAGTCAGTGCTGTTCCCCACCAGGGAACAGGGAGCCCCTTTGCCACATGCCCACTCCACACTCTGCTTCCATTCTACAGCCACAGCTCACCCTCCTTCTTGTCACCAGGGCAGCTCCTGCCTCGGCTCTCTGTGATGTCCTTGAAGGAGAAGAGGAAGAGCACCACCTCTCCCTTTTCGTTCTTGATGGGCATGATGTCCAGCAGGCACCAGAAGGCAGCTCCTGGGTGCAGGAGAGAGTTGGTGAGGGCAGGGGCAGCTCCCTCACTGCTCAGCAGCTTCCCCCAGGCCAGGTGGTCCAGATTGCAAGGCAAGATGTGTTCTATTGCCTGCTGTATGACAGCTGTCTTTTGTCAAGTGGGCAGTTTGCCTTATCTCTCTCTCAGTGATCACAATCACTCCTCCCTCCTGGGAGACACCTGCTGATAACAGCTATTGAATGTCACTGCATGGCTGATAAGAACTACAGCATCCCACTGGGAGATGTGAGCCCAGAGGGAGGAGCCAAGCATTCCTGCCTGGACATAATCTGGAGATTCTGGAACACCAGCAGAGCTTCTGCACTGGATTCCCCAGAGCAGCAGCTGCGTCTTCTTCCCCTGGATCTTCAGAGGAAGAGATTAAGAGATTGCACCTTTCTCCAGGATCCCTGCTCCAGCAGAACCACTGCAGGAGGGCTGCAGCCACAATTCCAATGGGACTGCTGCCAACAGCCTGACCCACAGGGTGTCAGGTTGGGTTCCGACTCGGGCAGTGTTGGTTTAGTTCACTGCATTGTTTATTTTATCCTTTTATTTTCTTCCCTATTAAAGAACTGTTATTTCCTGCTCCCATATTTTTTGCCTGAGAGCCCTTAACTTAAAATTTACAGCAAATCAGAGGAGTGGGGAGGGTTCACATTCTCCATTTCAGGGGAGGCTCCTGCCTTCCTCAGCACACTCCTGTCTTTCCAAACCAAGACAGTGCAAGATCACAACAGAGCCAAATCCCATCTGGAGCTGTGGCCCGGTACCCAGCCCCACGTGCCACTCACCGCTCTTTTTGTAGAAGCAGACCTCTGTCTGGTACTCCTGCCTGCTGTCCAGGGCCTTCTCGATGCCCTGCAGGGCGGGCTCGCTGGTGTCAGCCCCGCAGAGGAAGCGGCAGCTGCAGTTCTTCTGCATGACCTCGGTGCGCGCGAAGCCGGTGAGGTCGCAGAAGCCATCGGAGCAGTACACGATGGGGAAGCCACAGCGGCCCTGAGCGTTGGCCAGGATGAAGTTGCTGTCTGAAAGGAGACACAGCTGCCCCCGAGGCCTTGGGGCCACCTCAGGGGGCACAAACAGCAGCACAGCACTCCCAGCCCCGCTCTGGGAGGTGAAGCCAGAGCTCCATGTGGCTGCTGGTTGTCCCCAGCTGCTCCCAGAGCTTGTTCACCCCCTGTCCAGCCCAGCAGGACCCCAGCCCCGTGCGGTGGAAGGGGAAGGAGGCTGGATCTGTCTCTGGCCCCCATCACCCACGCGAGGCAGCTCACGCCTCCCCCTCACCATCTGCCACTCTGCCAGGGCTCAGGGAGCTTAGTGGGAACAGCAGCTCCCAGCTGGGCGTGCCCAGCCCAGGGGTGCCCAGTTGTGGTGCTGAGATCCCCAGAGGTGTGGGGTGCTGAGAAACCAGCTCAGAGTGTGGGAGAAAAGCCATCAAGGGGCAGCACCAGGGATGAACTGCAGCATCCTCATCCTCTCAGCAGCACAGAGCCTCCCCAGCATCCCAGCCCTGGTGGTGGGAGGTGGCACCAGCCACAGCAAAGTGCTGCCAGCCCCATGCCCTGCCCAGTCACAGAGGAGCTGTTCTGCCCCACAGCCCTGGCCCACAGTGCCAGCAGGACAGCTCATGTTAGCAGGGTGCCAAGGGAGTGGGTGTGCAGCTGGCATGGACTGTGGTGGAACCAGGGGCAGATCAGGGTATTTCCAGCCCCAAATTGGTCTCTGGTGCTGCCCAGCACAGAACCTTTGCATCACACAGCCAGGATCAGGTGGATGTGCTCTGCCCCTTTCGCAGAAGAAAGGAGCCCACGGTGATGCCAGCACCTGCACAGCACAGGCAGAGTGGTGCCAGGGCCAGGCAAGGGCAGCAAGAGGCTGTGGGAGGGAGGGGAGGCATCCCCAGGCAGCCCTGCCTTTGGAGGTGCCGTGGGGCCACCGCAGCACAGCTCAGCCCAGGATTAGCTGGGAGAAGCAAAAATAGCCTGAAGCTGTGACTAAGGCCAGATTTTGGCTCTGGGAAGCCGGGATTATGGTGATATCCAGGATGTGTTATTAGAACAGAAAACAAGGGTTTGCATTTGGGAGTGGCTGGCTGAGCTGGAGGATGTGGCCCTGGCAGGCTGGCAGACCCCGGACATGGTGGGCACTGTGCCTGGTTGGGTGCCTCAGGGCCCAGAGCTGCAGCTGCCTGGGACAGACAGGGTTAACTCCCCACAGAGTATCAGTGCCCTAAACCCCTCTCCATGGCAGATAAAGCCGATAAGAGGCACATCAAAGCCACAAAGCCCCACACTGTTTAAAAGTGCCCGGCAGAGGTGGTTGGGCAGCTTTGGACAGGAGACTGCCAGGGCACTGCAGGCAATGCCAGGCTCTCTGGGGCAAATTCCCAAGGTTTTGGTCCTGGTGTTGCAGGCAGCTTCCCTTGGAGAGCCTGATCCATGAGCTCTGCCCCTCTGGAGAGACAGTGGGGTCAGCACCAGGAGGCACATGTGGCTCTGCCCTGTCCCCTCCAGGCACAGCTCAGTCAGAGTCAGGGAACAGAGATTTCACACACATTGCAGCCCCAAGGGTAACATCCCAAATTTCAGCTTCCCTGGGTAAATGACCCCCTGTGTCACTCCAGGCTCGGAGGTATCTCAGCATGGCAGCAAACACATGCTCAGGGTGCTCTGAGTGCCTCCACAGTGCCCTGCGAGGTAGCTGCAGGCTCCCAGTGCCATCTCCATGCCAGTCGCTCCCAGCAAGGGAGGAGATGCTCAGCCTGGCAGGCAGCTGGCCCGGGACACCCCTGCTGCAGGTGCTTTTGGAGGAAAGCTGAGATCAGTCATGAACACGGCCCATCCCTGGGCGGCTTCATGGTGCCAGCAGTGCTGGTGGCATGTAGCACCGGGTATCACCCATCCCTGCTTCAACCCATCCCGGCTTCAACCCATCCCGGCTTCAACCCATCCCAGCTTCGACCCATCCCCGCTTCAACCCATCCCTGCTTCAATCCATCCCCGCTTCAATCCATCCCGGCTTCAACCCATCCTGTCTTCAACCCATCCCGGCTACAATCCATCCCAGCTTCAGCCCACCCCAGCTTCAACCCATCCCTGCTTCAACCCATCCCTGCTTCAACCCATCCTGGCTTCAACCCATCCCGGCTTCAACCCATCCCAGCTTCGACCCATCCCCGCTTCGACCCATCCCTGCTTCAATCCATCCCCGCTTCAATCCATCCCGGCTTCAACCCATCCTGTCTTCAACCCATCTCGGCTTCAATCCATCCCAGCTTCAGCCCATCCCGGCCTGGCACATGGACACCGAGAGCAGCTCAGCGCCCGGGGACACCGGCACCGCCCAGGCACGGGATGAGGGCCTGGGGATCCCGGGTCAGGGATCTGGGGGATGGATCCCTGGGTCATCCCGGGCGTGTTGGGACCGACCGTTCCCTCTCCGGTGCTCCCGCAGGCACCGGGATCTGTCCCTGGTGCTGAGCGGCACCGGGGGCGGCCCTGGACACGGGCACGGGAGTACCGGAGCACCGAGCCCAGTACAGGACGGTCCCGTACAGCGCATGGGTGGCCGAGCACCGGGTCAGCGGTGCCGGGCGCTCCCCGTCCCGTTCCCGTCTCCTGCCGGGCACCGGTTTCCCCCACCCGGTTCCCCCACGGCCCCTCCCCGGTCCCGTCGCAGCCCTACGTGTGCCATCGAAGCGGGTGGCGATGGTGTCCAGGAAGGTGTTCTGCGGCGCCAGCAGCCCCTTCATCACCGGCATCGTCCCGCCCCACCGGCCGGCCCGGCCCGCCCCACCGGCCGGGCTGCCTCCGCCGCCCCCGGGCCCTCCGCAGCACCGCGGGCTGATCCCGGCCCGCCCGGGGCTCCCGCCCCGCCCCCGCCCCGCCCCGCCACCGGGAGGGGCCTCGGCACCATCGGGCACCCGCGGGCACGGCGGGCTGGCCCGGGGGGGCTCGGGTTGGTGGCACCGGGAGCCGCCCGGTCACGGGAGCAGCTCAACCCCCGTCCTGTCGGGTGCGCGGGGGCTGCAGAAGGAGCGGGGGGAGCCGCACCTCGGGTGAACTCAGTCCTGGCACCGCACACGGGCACACACCGGGGCAGCGCCGCGGATAACTCTTCATGAGCCCAGTCCCAGCCCCGCGGAGGAAGGAACTCGCTCCGGCACCGAGCTGTGCCCGCACAGAGCTGCCCTCACACCGAGCTGTGCCCGCACCGAGCTGTCCCTGCACCGAGCTTTCCCCGCACCGAGCTGTGCCCGCACCGAGCTGTGCCCTCACACCGAGCTGTGCCCACCCGACCCTCCCCAGAGACACAGCAGAGCCGGCTGACATCAGGCTACCATTTATTGTAAAAGGCCGCGGTGCCCGCGGTGCCCTGAGCAGGCTGGGCCAGGGCCAGGGCAGGGAGGAGGTATCTAAAAGTGCTATTTACACCGAGCTCGGCTGTGTGTGCCCGCAGCACGTCCTGCCAGGGACCCCCTCTGTGTGTCCCGCTGCCCCCATCCCGTTCAGTAAAAGCTCCTTGCAGCCCCCTGGCTGGCACTCAGGTCCTTCCCTGAGTGTCCCTGACACTCCCTGGGGCTCTCAGGGCTGGTGGCAGCGCCCCGTGGCACCGCTGTGGGCTGGGCGACCGTCCCCGCAGGGCAGCCCGACGCATCGGGGCAGGCGGTGCCCGAGGGCTGCCCGCGCTTGCCCATGGTGAGGATGCCCGCGGCGTGGTTGCCGGAGCCGTGGAGCAGGCGGTAGAGGCGGCTCTGGAAAGCCAGGGGGACGCTCTTCCTCTTGCCCAGCGTGAGGATGCCGGCGGCGTGGTTGCCCATGCCGTGCAGCAGGTCGTAGACGCGGCAGGAGCAGGTTTTCTGCCGGCAGCAGTGGGGCAGGTTCTGCCGGGCAGCGGCCAGGGAGCAGAGGAGCAGCAGCAGCAGGAGGCAGGCAGCTCGCTGGGGCTGCCAGAGAACGGGCAGCGTTAGGGCAGTGACAGTGACAGGGCAGGGATGGGGACTGCCCGAGCCACGACTGTCCCCTCTCTGCGGTGTCCAACTGCCCCCTGCCCTCCTGGCTCAGCCCCACACCCGAGGTGCACCTGGAGCCTCGCCCTTCTCTGCCCTGCTCCTCACCTGTGTCCCAGCCAGATGTGGGTGTGCTCACCCTTCACTGCCCTGCACCTCACCTGTGTCCCAGCCAGATGTGGGTGTGCTCACCCTTCACTGCCCTGCACCTCACCTGTGTCCCAGCCAGATGTGGGTGTGCTCACCCTTCACTGCCCTGCACCTCACCTGTGTCCCAGCCAGATGTGGGTGCGCTCACCACACCCCTGCCCTGCACCTCACCTGTGTCCCAGCCAGATGTGGATCCTCACTGCATCCCTGCCCTGCACCTCACCTGTGTCCCAGCCAGATGTCAGTGTCCTCACCCCACCCCAGCCCTGCTCCATCACACAAACTTCCTCCTCTCGCTGCCCAGTGCTACAGGACAAGCCCTGCAAGCACCCATGCTGCAGGAATTGCATGCCCAGCTCCCTCCCAAGCATTCCCCCCATCAGTCAGGGATTCCCAGGGATTTGCTGCACACTCGGAGCTTCCCAAGAAACCAGCCAGTCCCTCCCACACCCCCAGCCCAACATCCTGACCTCCCACCCATCCCCAGGGGCTGCAGCCCCCCAGCCCCACCTTGCTGTTGGGCACCTCCATCCTTGCTGGGGTCTTCATGTGGCCGAGCAGCTCTGGGGCATGTCCCATCGGCAGCACAGCACCCCGCACTGCCACGGCCACTTTATAGGGCCCGGCACAATGGGACTGCCAAAAATACCTGGGCCAGCGGGAGCAGCGGGTGTCCGGGAGACGCGGTAGCCCGGAGACCATGCAGGCCTTTCCCCTCATTTGCAGCTCCCCATTGTGAGGGTGCTCACTGCAAGGGGTGCCTGGCACTAATGAGGCCATAATTGCCCACGGGCTGCGCTGCTGGGCTGGCACAAAGGGCTGAAGGTCAGCGCTGGCCGCTGCTCAGAGCCCCATTAGGCTAATTAACCCCCCGAACAAAGGGTTAGGTTAATTAACCCCCCGAACAAAGGGGTGCCAGCAGCTGCACAGCTCCCTGACTGACGTGGGGAGCCGTGGGGAGCTGTCACCCTGTGCTCGGCTGGTGCCAGGGAGGAATAGTGCCACCAAGGTCCTGTGCCAGGGAGGGATAGTGCCACCAGGGTCCTGTACCCAGTGCCACCAGGGTCCTGTACCCAGTGCCAGGGAGGGATAGTGTCACCAGGGTCCTGTACCCAGTGCCACCAGCGTCCTGTGCCCAGTGCCAAGGAGGGATAGTGTCACCAGGGTCCTGTACCCAGTGCCACCAGCGTCCTGTGCCCAGTGCCAAGGAGGGATAGTGCCACCAGGGTCCTGTACCCAGTGCCAGGGAGGGATAGTGCCACCAGGGTCCTGTACCCAGTGCCACCAGGGTCCTGTACCCAGTGCCAAGGAGGGATAGTGCCACCAGGGTCCTGTACCTGTTGCCACCAGTGTCCTGTGCCAGTGCCACCCTCCATCCCCACTGGTGACACCATCCCATCGTGGTGCTGTGCCTGGAACAGAGCGAGCCACAGGGCACCAGGGAGGCTCTGGCACTCTTTATAACACCCCACAGCCCCAGCCTGACCCCAGAGCACCTCCAGCCTTTGCTTGTGCTCAACTCCCCTGCCCTGGGGATGAACCCAAACATTTCCCTGGTGCCAGCAGCCACATCTGCTGTCCAGAGACAGCCTGGCCCTACATCTGCTGCACCAGAGAGCCTCCCAGCCCCTCTGCATGGTGGGGCCTCCAGGGATGCTGCGGAGGCGACAGGAGCAGCCAGGATCCTTCTGCCAGCCAGCTTTTCCCCAGGGCTGGTGGAGGCCAAACCTGCAGCCCTGGGGAAGGCGGGCAGGAGCTGCTTTTCCAAGTGGCATCTGGCACAGCAGGCTGGGGTACATGCACACGGGCACTGGGCAGAGATCTGGCTCCAGAATCAGATGGAAGGGATGGATGAGTCCCCTGGGAGCTTGGCAGGGCACGAAGGAGCAGGGACATCTCTCCCCAAGCTCTGCACTGAATTCTGCAGCGAGCCCCTCAGCAGGGCAGGGCACCCAGCTCACAGACCCTGCCCAGGCAGGCTGGGGCTCCCTGCTCCCGGTCCCTGTGCCCAGGGCTGCTCAGTCCGGGCCCCGAGCCCCGGGCCGGGGTCAGCAGGACGCGGGGTCGCCGCCTCCGTCTGTCTCGGGGATGGGCTCCAGCGGGGCCGGCAGCCGCGAGGGCTCGGGCGAGGCTGAGCCGTTCCTGCCGATGCCGCAGGACTGGCCCGCGTTGTGGATCTGCCACAGGTTGTCCAGAGCCTCCGCCTTGGCGTGCTTGAGGAGGTCAGCCTGGCCCTGGGGACGAGATATCGGGCTGTGGGGACAGGAGGTGACGGGGAAGGGGAAGGGGAAAGGGAAGGGGAAGGGGAAGGGGAAGGGGAAGGGGAAGGGGAAGGGGAAGGGGCAGGGTGGGCAGGGCAGGGCTGGGAAGGGGAAGGGTGGGCAGAGCAGGGCAGGGCAGGGCTGTCCCCGCAGCCCTCGCCGCTCACCTTGAGGACAGTGATGTTCCAGGCGAAGCTCTCCAGCGCCTTCTGCAGCTTGCGGCCCCGCAGCCCTTCCTTGGTCTCGATGCGGTGCAGCTCCTTGTGGAAATCCATCCCTGATGGACGGCACAGGGGCTCAGGGACGTTGGCATGGGGGCAGCCACCACCCCTGGCCAACAGCGACCAAGCCAGAGGGATGCCTTTGCCCACCATGGCATTGCAGGCTGGGTGGGCTCCCCACTGCCCCAGCAGCCTCAAGAATCCTCCACACCTCAAATGATGGGACCCCCCAACATCCCAGCACAACAACCAGCTGCACCCTGGGGCTGTTCTGGACCCAGACACCACAAGATCTGGCAGGGCAGTGAATCCCCTGGGCAGAGGCACAACTCCTGCACTCCATGGCCCATCTGGGGGGCACTCAGAGCCCCCCAAGGCTGTGCCACCCCCGGAGTGGGTGCTATATTTACCCCTGGTGACGCAGCAGCGGCGCGGGGCCCACGCCAGGGCTCCCACGCAGCTCCCTCGCCCCGGCGCTGCCAATCAGCCCGCCCACAGCCCTACAGCTCCCCGGGGCCCAGCTCCTGCCAGCCGGGTACCAGCACCACAGCAGCTCGTCCCCAGCACGGCCGGGGTGAAAGCAGGCACCACCAGGGCACGGGGTGGGGGATGCAGCTGCCAAAGTGCTGCTGCCACCATCCCGAGGGGCTGCACAGCCCAGAATGCCTCTGCTCCTGCAATGCAGGAGGGCACAGCACCAATCTGTGCCCTGCTGCAGCCTGTGCCCCGCTGCTCCACTCCCCCAGGGCTGGCAGCAGTGGCAGAGCTGGGCCAAGAGTTCGGGGAGATTTCTGTCTGCAGCATGGGCAGGGAACAAACACGGCTGCTGGCAGCAGGGCTGACACGGCAGGGACAGCAGAGCAGGGCTCTCTCCTTCTTCCCAAGCCTCTCCAGCTTGGTGCCCAGGGTCTGGCCCTTCCCAGCAGTGGCAGAACTGGGAGAAGAGTTTGGGGAGATTTCCGTCTGCAGCGTGGGCAGGGAACAAACATGGATGCTGGCATGGCAAGGACAGCAGAGCAGGGCTCTCTCCTTCTTCCCAAGCCTCTCCAGCTCCTGACGCTCTCCCAGCCCCACAGGGAGCCCACAAAAGCCCCTGGAGCTGGGGGGCTGTTCCTGTGGGGTCCCAGCCAACAGTGGGGCCAGAGGTCCCAGAGTGGGGGCACCTGCAGGGAGGGCCAGGGCAGGCAGCAGCAGCACCTGCCTGTGTGGGTTCTGCCATGTGTTTGGGAAGTCTTAACACTCAGTTGCCATTTCTGCTGTCAGCCCCAGCCTGTTATTTCTGGCACTAATTATGTTCTGGCGTTTGACAGCTAATGACTCTTCCCCGCTTCCTCATCAGCCTCCCCCACTCTGCTTGCTCCCTACCACACAGCTCTGCAGCCCACCCACCCACAGCCTGCCCCGGTGCAGGAAGCCCTGAGCCCTCCAGGACGTGCCAGAGCCGTGGTGGAGCTGGGGCTGCCCTCCAGGACCCACCTGCCTGCTGTGCCTGGATCAGCTTCCCGTACACGGCGTCGGCAGACTCGATCAGGGTCCTGCTGGTCTGGATCATCTGCGGAGAGGGGAAATGTGAGCAGCTGGGCAGCCCTGGCCCTGTGTCCCCATGCCAGGTGGATGGGGACACAGGGTTCATCAGGGGATGCCCCCTGAGCCAGCACAGTGCCCAGGGTCTGGCCCTTCCCACCCCACGGGTATGGTGTGAGCAGCACGTGGCCAATGGCCAGGTTCCCTTCAACACAAAAGAAGGAAGCAGCTCTGGCTGTGGCTATTAATGGGATTTCTCCCATCTGGTGGGATCAGGGCAAGGCACAGGCAGTGCAGGCACAGGGCTGCAGTGTCCCAGGGTCAGACTGACCAGGGCAAGCCTGTGCCTTGGCAAGACTCCTCCCTGGGCAGCCACCATGCAGCCCCCTGCCCCAGGATGGGTACAGTGAGTTCAGGGTTCCCCATCCTTGGACCTTCTGACCCATCCCACAAAACCTGCCTGGGTTCACCCCACAAAAACTGCCTGGGTTCATCCCACAAAACCCACTCATGTTCATCCCACAAAACCCACTCAGGTTCATCCCACAAAACCTGCCTGGGTTCATCCCATAAAATCTGCCTGGGTTCATCCCATAAAATCTGCCTGGGTTCATCCCATAGAACCTGCAGCAGCAGTGGGTGCTGGTCCCAGTGCCAGTGATGCCAGGGACTGTCCCCAAGGGGCCAGGCCCTGGCAGGGTGGCACTTACCGTCTCGTAGGCGGTGAGGACCTTGCGCAGCAGGTCGGGGATGGGGCCCTGGGCCTCCATGGGTGGGTACTGCTCTGCCAGGTTCAGGGTGACGCTGGGCGCGCTGTCACTGTGCAGCAGCCACGTGGACACCGTCAGGATGCACTGCTTCATGTTGGCAGCGGGTGTCAGCCCACACAGCT